GTAAGTGCTGAACTCCCACCACCAGGATATTTAGGCTCCTTTTAGGCTCCTGTACAAAGTAAAAGTCATCATAAGCTGTGCAGCATGCATGGAAGCCTGTTTCCACCACTGAGGAAAATATAGCCACGTAGTCAGTCATAATAATGACGTTTTCCATAATTATGACTTAGTATCTCACAATAATGAGCAGCTGAGCAATGTCTTTTTTTCCAATGCTTCCATAGGCAGCAAAGTATGAGATTAAAGGGGAGCTCCATCCTTTTTTTCAAAATTCTCCTCATAATTCAGTGTGTGAGATGTAAACAGAGTGATTCAGAGTGGTTTGGTGTGAAATGGTTCAGATGTCTTTACAGTGGTGGTGATAGGAACCAGGGGTCGCCATGACTACAACACAAATATAGACATTTTATTTACTATCCAGAACCACCAGTGAACCTACACGAGTCTTCTGAGTTTATATGGAATGTTGATGATGGAAAATAGAGGAAAATCTGAGATAATTTTTCCTATTTTGCCTCACAGCGCCCTGCATGTATCCCTCCACCATGAATAGATTAATAGTTTAAAAATATATTTTAGGCCAAAACCATCATAAAACAGTGTCTCAGTCATCAGGCAGTGAATTCATAATCATCTCATGCAGGAAGTTTCTGTGAGGGAGCTTTTAGAGGTGGACGTCTGGTTCCTATCACCACCACTGTGAAAATAGTTTTCTCTAGGACGGAGCTTTTCACACCAAACCACCCTGAACAACTTTCTTTACAGCTTAAGGATTTTTATTGCAGATTTGATCTACGAGTACCGTGGCAAATTAATGCACAATCAGTGCCCGTCTCTGTATCACCTTTTGCTATTGAGGAATATGAAGTTAAGTTTTTGCTCTTGAAGCCGGACTGCAGGAAGGCAGCTGGATCTGACCTGCACCTGAGGTCTTTCCAGCCACCCTAAAGCTCTGTGATGACTCACTTTCTAATAATGTCTTTTTAATCGGTCACTGAAAACATGTAGGATCCCGTTATGTTTTAAAAATATACCCATTGCTCCTGTTCCAAAAAAGTCCAGTGGAACCTGTTTCAGTGATTACAGACCTGCAGCAAAAACATGACTGCAAAACACTAGAGGGCGCCCATGAGTGAGTCCTAAATGAACAGGGGTGAAATGGACTTAACAGCTAAAAGCAAAGTTAAAATAGTTTCTAAACACTTCTTTACTTCCTTTAGTTTTGGAAAGTACACAAACACACCGTGATAGTTTGTTTATCTGAGATTTAATGAGTTGGAACAGACAAAATGGAACCTGTAGTGTTGTATAAAAATAATGATTGGTTAGTATTACCACTACTGAGTGCTGATTGGTTAGTATTACCACTACTGAGTGCTGATTGATTAGTATTACTGCTACTGAGTGCTGATTGATTAGCATTACTGCTACTGAGTGCTGATTGATTAGCATTACTGCTACTGAGTGCTGATTGGTTATCATTACCGCTACTGAGTGCTCATTGGTTAGCATTACCGCTACTGAGTGCTGATTGGTTAGCATTACTGCTACTGAGTGCTGATTGGTCAGCATTGCTGCTACTGAGTGTTGATTGATTAGCATTACTGCTACTGAGTGCTGATTGATTAGCATTACTGCTACTGAGTGCTGATTGGTTATCATTACCGCTACTGAGTGCTCATTGGTTAGCATTACTGCTACTGAGTGTTGATTGATTAGCATTACTGCTACTGAGCGCTGATTGGTTATCGTTACCGCTACTGAGTGCTGATTGGTTAGTATTACCACTACTGAGTGCTCATTGGTTAGCATTATCACTACTGAGTGCTGATTGGTTAGCATTACTGCTACTAAGCACTAATTGGTTAGTATTAAAGCTACTGAGTGCTGATTGGTTTGTATTAAAGCTACTGAGTGCTGATTGGTTAGTATTACTGCTACTGAGTTCTGATTGGTTAGCATTACTGCTACTGAGTGCTGATTAGTTAGCATTACTGCTACTGAGTGCTGATTGGTTAGTATTAAAGCTACTGAGCGCTGATTGGTTAGTATTAAAGCTACTGAGTGCTGATTGGTTAGTATTAAAGCTACTGAGTGCTGATTGGTCAGTATTACTGCTACTGAGTTCTGATTGGTTAGTATTACTGCTACTGAGCGCTGATTGGTTAGCATTACCACTACTGCATGCTGATTGGTTAGTATTAAAGCTACTGAGCGCTGATTGGTTAGTATTACTGCTACTGAGTTCTGATTGGTTAGTATTACTGCTACTGAGTGCTGATTGGTTAGTAGTACTGCTACTGATTTCTGATTGGTTAGTATTACTGCTACTGAGCGCTGATTAGTTAGTATTACTGCTACTGAGTTCTGATTGGTTAGCGTTACTGCTACTTAGTGCTGATTGGTCAGCATTACTGCTACTGAGCGCTGATTGGTTAGCATTACCACTACTGAGTGCTGATTGGTTAGTATTACTGCTACTGAGTGCTGATTGGTCAGTATTACTGCTACTAAGCACTGATTGGTTAGTGTTACTGCTACTGTGCTGAACTTTAGTTGTCAGTTAAGGTCAAGATTTTCACCAAACTCATATTACAGAAGTAAACGTGTAATTTAAAGGGCCCATATCATGAAAAACTGAATTTGCCTCAATTGCTGGAAATAAAACAGTTTAATGTAGTAAGTTTCAAAACATACTATTCCCTTATCAGTCCTTATGGCACCTATACAGAAATTAGCTGCACAAAAAGCTTCTTTTGAATTTTCAGCATTTTTATGATGTCACAAAAAAATACATTTACATACATCCACCTGTTTTGCCTACAGTTTAGCTCCGCCCACTCACACTGAAGTTGTAGGGAGGGTTTCAACCTGTTATTTGAATAAGGCACAACAAAGGCCAGCCAATCAGGACAGAGCTCATTTACACATGTGAGTCATAAAAGCACAATAACAAAAACAGCCTGTTTATTTCTAAGGGGTAAAAAGTGGAGAAAGGTCACATTTCCATGGCAGTGTTGCCAACTTTAGCGTATTAGGTACTCTAAACAAAACAACAAGACTCACTGCCGTTCTTCTATTACTAGCCTTCTTTTTCCCAGAAGCCCCCCAGCCTACATACACATATCCAGCCCCACCCACAGAGCAAAAATCCACCTCAGAACCAGAAGCATTTCGACCCGTTTACAGAATCAAACACACAGTTGTGCTCCGACACCACAGTATCTTATCTCAGGTCAGAAAATTGCACTTAATCTGGTACCAAGTGATCAGTAATGCATGCACAGCTGACACATTAATATGTTTGGCTGTTGATGTTAACCACACAGCTACTGTTGCAAAAAAATGGCAAAACTAAGCTGAAGTGTGATGAACTGGAAGTTAGAAAAAGATTGTAACTGCGCCCCCTGCTGTTCAACAAGGTGTCCTTTTTTTAATTTCCCAAGACTTGTGTTGGCCGTGCTAAAGTCCTGATAAACAGCCACATGTTCAAATCTCTCATTATTCACTAGCAAAAGGAACCGGAGAGAACATGTCTGTTGGACAATCTTTGAAATATAAATTTATATAGAAAATATAGAAATGTACACCAATCTGGCATAACATTCTGACCACCTCCTTGTTTCTACGCTCATTGTCCATTTTATCAGCTCCACTTACTATATAGGGTCACTTTGTAGTTCTACAGTTACAGACTGTAGTCCATCTGTTTCTCTGATACTTTGTTAGCCCCCTTTTACCCTGTTCTTCAGTGGTCAGGACCCCTATGGACCCTCACAGAGCAGGTACTATTTGGGTGGTGGATCATTCTCAGCACTGCAGTAACACTGATGTGGTGGTGGTGTGTTAGTGTGTGTTGTGCTGGTCTGAGTGGATCAGACACAGCAGTGCTGCTGTATAGAAAATGATTCTATACAGAACCATGAGCACTCAAAGAACCCTTTGCGTGATTAAATGGTTTGTATGCATTGTGAAAGCGTTCTTCAGATTGATGGAGAATGTGCCATAGATGATTCTATATAGAAGCTTTTTGAAAATGGGTCTGTATAGCACCAAAAGGGTTCTTCTTTTATATTCAAGCTTGACATCGTAACAGCAGCAGAACCCTTTTGGGTGCTATATAGAACCATACACAACACTTTCTAAAATCTGGAAAAAAACATTTTATGAGGCAAAGAACTATTAAACCACGCAAACGGTTCTGTTTACCACTATATACACTCCTAAAAAGAAAATGGTTCTATATAGAACCATGAAACACTCAAAGAACGCTTTGCATGATTAAAGGATTGATGGAGAATGTGCTATTGATTGATCTATATAGAACCTTCTTGAAAAGGGTTCTATATAGCACCAAATAGGGTACTTCTTTTGTTACAACGTCAAGCTTGTAACAATAAAAGAACACATTTTGGTGCTTTACAGAACCATTTTCAGAAAGATTCTATATAGAACCATGTACTCCATCAGTCTGAAGAACCATTTCATCATTTAAGCATGAAAAGGTTCTATAGTTCTGAATAGATCCATCGCCTTTACTAAAGAACCCCTGAAGAAGCGTCTATTTAAAGGGTGTCATTAATATTCAGTTAGTATGTTACTGTCTGCTGTGCAGACACTGTACGTCGAATTAAACACCACCGTTTTGATCTGAGAGGATATTTAACATGAAATAAATGTGGAGGCAGATCTGAAGAACCTCACAGTAACAGAAAAGCGTGTCCGTGTTTATCTACTGAAGAAGCGCGAGGCACAGAATGAAATCTCATTAGATCTGAAGGAACCTTCACGCGCAGTGCCAGTCCTGTACTCTGAGCTTCAGGACAGGATCAGTCCATCACTCCCTTCAAAGAATCTGCATTTCTCTCTTTCACTCCTGCACTGAGAGGAACAACACAGACAGACTGCTCACAATAGAGCTCCAACACAGGCCGATTTCAGCTGATGGATTTTAAACAGTGAATGACGTTTCATTGTTCGTCTGGTTCTGCAGCAAGAAA